GGAAAATGTATTAAACACACTGGCAGTCTGCCATCTGTTCCCATCTTAGCCTTGTAGTGAAGGTCCTTCTTTAAAATACAACTCCCTACCCTGCTTTGTATTCAGCATCAATACTGTACTGAATCACTCTAACAGGGGTTTAGCCTCTCTCTGCTCTCCACACACACACACACTGAGGGGAGAGGAGGATGTGTCACCCTTTATACTGACTGGTAATTTAGCTTTCTGCCGCCCAATTCCTGGCATCCATATCTATGCCCAGCCCCTGTTTGAATATTGTGCTTTTAAAGATTTAAAACAACAGCTTCCAATAAACCTATCCTGATATAGCAAAAATAGTATTATTAGTGGAAACTCTTGATTATTGACTGACTTGTCTCGCACGGCCTGGATGGCTTCAGCGGCGCTCTCGTAGTTGTGCTTTTCCATGTGGCGGTACATGGTGCTTAGCTCAACTTGACGGCGGAAGTAAATGTCCACAGAGCTCTGCTTCACTGTGGCGTAGATGAACTTGTCTGATGGGTTTCGCAGCTGGAATACAAGGTAACAGTGGGACGGTCTGGATGAACTGTGATAAATGGGTGCTACGCAAGATAAATGTATTCAAAACATGATGAATAATTAAAGTAAACTGGTGTTTGGTGTCTGCGAATCAAAAACACGGACTTTGCAATTACATGAAATATTTCTGAGAGGAAAATGTCTGTGGGAATAGAGGTAAACCAAGGTAAGCATGACCTAAAAATGTTCACTGAAGTCTGTTTCTGTGCACCTACAACTGTAATAATAACACAAGTGTAAATTTATCAATATATATCTCATAAAATCTCATTAAATCCTTTTTTTCAAAATCTCCGTTTTAAATGTTTAAATTGAGTCCTTTGTAAATGTTCAGCCCACATGACAGAACTGACATGATTGTTATGATGAAACAAGGCAAATAAAAATAACCTTTGGGAACGAATGACCCGTAATTATGTGTCCCGCCATGCTTAATTATATGTGGTGTTTTTATAGCATGTGAAATCTCGATGCATGGTAATTTAGAGTCTTACTTGATATTCTGTTGTATAACATGCAAAGCTGCTTCATATTTACCACTCACCCTAGGGTCGTTGATGCCGGTAATGCGCTCCTCAGGCCGATCCAGCACTAGGAAGGCTGCCAAATTGGCAGTATAAGATGCAACTATAATCATAGCAAAACCAGCCCACACCATACCTAAAATCCTTGCTGAAAAGCTCCGAGGGGCACCTGTGAATGTAAGCGGAGAGGTGAGAGCGATAAAGAAAAATATGCTTACTGCACAATCAATCAAACACAGAGTCAGCAATATTTCCACTTCACAGCACCAACATACTGAATAATAATCTTATTGCTGATGTCTACCTTCTCCAATGCCGGAGTTCAGAAGTACACCCCAGGAGAACCACATAGCAGAGGATAAGGTGAGGGCATCTTCTTCTTCCTCTTCACTATTTACTTTAAACCTTCCAAACGGGCTGCACAGCAAAGTGCATATCAGTCAGAGACAGATGCTTTTAAACTGCATCCAAAAAATGTTGCTAGCCTTCAGCCAAACTTTTGATATCTTCTGCAAACTTTCTTAATACCAGGCTACATTCTCACATCTGTGTGTTCAATCATTCCTACATCTATCCAAAGGTGAGTTTTACAGGGCTAGTTCACTCAAAAATGAAAGTCTTGTCACCTTCATGTAATTTTCTTCATGATTTTCTTACTTCTTCAGAACACAGAAGATATTTTGAAGAATGTTGACTCTTTATTGTATATTTTTACAGTATAGACAAAATATCTTCTTTAGTGTTCCAAAGAACAAAACATCATACAGCTTTAGAATGACATAAGGGTGAGTAAATGTTGACAGAATTTACATTTCTGGATAAACTACCCCATTAAGGTGTTATGCATGTAACAAATATTGTTCTTTACCTGAAACGGTCTAATAGGTAGAGCATCACCGCCACAACGTGGACCGATAGACCCACCAGTAACCACAGAGTGCTCTGAAAAGGCTGCATGAACGAGTCCAGTGTACTGCGCGGTATTTCCTGCAAAACAACACAGCTTAATCCAACCCAACAAACACCACCCACATTGCCACATGCATCGCCATATGAAGCATCAAATGGAGTCTACATCTACAATGGTCAGAGGTGTATTAATAGATTTCACTGTACTCCAGAGTCAATTGATTTATCACAGCGTTTTCTCAGTACAGAGATAAGAGCAAAACCAGCCCACACCATACCTAAAATCCTTGCTGAAAAGCTCCGAGGGGCACCTGTGAATGTAAGCGGAGAGGTGAGAGCGATAAAGAAAAATATGCTTACTGCACAATCAATCAAACACAGAGTCAGCAATATTTCCACTTCACAGCACCAACATACTGAATAATAATCTTACTGCTGATGTCTACCTTCTCCAATGCCGGAGTTCAGAAGTACACCCCAGGAGAACCACATAGCAGAGGATAAGGTGAGGGCATCTTCTTCTTCCTCTTCACTATTTACTTTAAACCTTCCAAACGGGCTGCACAGCAAAGTGCATATCAGTCAGAGACAGATGCTTTTAAACTGCATCCAAAAAATGTTGCTAGCCTTCAGCCAAACTTTTGATATCTTCTGCAAACTTTCTTAATACCAGGCTACATTCTCACATCTGTGTGTTCAATCATTCCTACATCTATCCAAAGGTGAGTTTTACAGGGCTAGTTCACTCAAAAATGAAAGTCTTGTCACCTTCATGTAATTTTCTTCATGATTTTCTTACTTCTTCAGAACACAGAAGATATTTTGAAGAATGTTGACTCTTTATTGTATATTTTTACAGTATAGACAAAATATCTTCTTTAGTGTTCCAAAGAACAAAACATCATACAGCTTTAGAATGACATAAGGGTGAGTAAATGTTGACAGAATTTACATTTCTGGATAAACTACCCCATTAAGGTGTTATGCATGTAACAAATATTGTTCTTTACCTGAAACGGTCTAATAGGTAGAGCATCACCGCCACAACGTGGACCGATAGACCCACCAGTAACCACAGAGTGCTCTGAAAAGGCTGCATGAACGAGTCCAGTGTACTGCGCGGTATTTCCTGCAAAACAACACAGCTTAATCCAACCCAACAAACACCACCCACATTGCCACATGCATCGCCATATGAAGCATCAAATGGAGTCTACATCTACAATGGTCAGAGGTGTATTAATAGATTTCACTGTACTCCAGAGTCAATTGATTTATCACAGCGTTTTCTCAGTACAGAGATAAGTCCGCTTCAGGGAATTTAATTAAATCGAGAAACTGTTATACTATTTCTGTCCCAGAAAATCATGTTCTCAGAGGATTTTTCCAAAAATTAATTACATTTCAGATACTTTATTTGAAACTTGAAGTTAAAAACCGAAATGAAACTGACACCAGATCTTCCAACAAGGGAGAGTTCATCCAAAAAAGAAAAATATCTATATTTCAAATGTTCATTTTTGAATGAACTGTCCCTCTAAAGCCAAACGATGATCTGTAGGTCATCTGAGGCTCACCTTTTTGACAAGTATTGTGAGCCCCTGGTACTTGAACGGTTTCGAGAACTCTATATACTGGGCTCGTTCATTGTTGATTGTAAGTGGAGCCACGATCATGTCTGCCAAGCCACTCAGGAGCTCTCCCATCATGCCATTCCACTCCTTCTTGTTGCTGTTATTTACCTGGTATCATGGAGATAACATTAAGCAATTAAATGCACTTTACTTTATGTATATTTCAGCAGATTCTTAACAGCATCTGTGAAGAAAGACTTGGAAATGTGCAGACAAGCCTAGTTGCATGACCTTGGAAAAGATATGCAAAGCTTCCGACTGGTGAAGAATCAATAAAGTTATCGTATTACTCACACGCTCCTGAGTGCCAAATTTGCCATCAGCCACTAGATGCACTTCATAGGTGAAGTTCATTGTCATTGCAAGTTTGATCAAAAGGTCAATGCAGAACCCATAGCAGCACTGAGGCACTATGGGGCGACCTATAGTGTTACACAAGATTGTCAGATCTGGACAAAGCACAACTTTAGTTCAACAAACTGTATTTAATATAATACATAATGCCTACCTGGAATGGTCTCATTGGGGCCAGTGCAGATCACTTTTTTGATCAGGACTCCATTTACAGTGAACTCTTCCTTACATGTTCCATCTCGTAGCGTTGGTTTCACATACACAAAGGGCTCTTGATGAATGGTGACAATCTACCAAATAACAAGAGAACTGAATATCAATGCATGGTTTTCAATATATTTATTTATTTTAAAAAAGTATACATAACAAGCCCTGCAATAAAGTACCTTTAATCTTGTTGACATCTGATACCCTTTTGGCTTTTCAGTCTCTCCTCCTGGCCAAATAATCTTCCTCTGAGTGTTCATTACAACCTGAAACATAATATTTTCCTGTCAAGAACTGTCATTTTATATTTATACTGGATGTAGTTGAAGTTGAAAGAAAATACTGACAACTAATATTTTTCACTGTATATGTAGGCTCCTTTTTGCTCATTTGTAAGCATCAGCTGAAATAGTGTATGTAAATGTTGTTTTTGCATTATTCAACATTTTTAGGATAAGTCAATCACTTTTAAAACATTAATCTTAGTTAAACGTTAATTCATACATATACATTGACAATTTGTATAGCTACTTTAACAGCTACTGTACTTCAAATTAATGATGAACTATAGTATATTTACAAATGAACATTTAAAAAAAAAAAACTGCTGTTCATTGATGGTTCATGAAACTTAAAACTGTACACTTACTGTAAAGTGTTACAATTAAATTACAGTGTGCTACTGTCCAAACTGTTAAAATAGCAAATGTTTGCACTGAGCAGAAGGACAGCTTATTAAAAAGACTAAGCCGATTTCATACTTGCGAGCCATTGTAGACGCCCACTTGCACCAGCCGGGTTTTCTGGTAGTTCAGAATGCTGTAGTGGGCGAACCTCCTGTCTCCGTCATCATTAAACTCCACGCGGCCTGTCAGGCCATCTGGATACTTGGATGACATCAGCACTCTAGTACACCAAAGGGGGTTTTTAGAAAAGGCACAAAATGCTCATTTAAACACAAAGGAAGACATTGACGATGACTGGAAGTAATGAAAGTTTACCAGAAATTCAGAGATGGAGATGCAGGTATGTCTTAGAAAAAGACATGACGATAACTAGGGAAGAGTTAGGGGGTGTCGTGTGGAGTGGGGTGGGGTGGAGTCAGATGGCACGTATAATGTGCAGGCACAGACATAGGAGAACAGAAATGACACCTGTAAGGGTCTCAAATTGGGTCTCAAATGCAAATTGGTACCACCAGATTTCACAAGGCCAATGTAAGCAACAACTTAACAGGCTTGATGTGTCCTTGCACTCGCTTATTACTCTGTTTGAGGAGTCAAGGCATGGTTTTAGAAGCCAAAAGCTAGCGGTTTCAATATTTGTGGTGTGAATGCTTCCACTCTTGTCAGTGTCAGACCAGTGGTAATGTATGATAATGCATGACAGCAAATGGATGGTTGGTTGGAAAGCTAGCGAATGCTAGCCAGCGCTCATCCCTGGCCTCACCGTTTGAAGAGTGGGCCAGTCTTCCAGATGTTTGTATTGCCAACACAGCCTCGAGGAGGCTCTGTGATATTCTCCTTCTCAAAGAGCTCCTGAATGGACTGGGCCACCACAGCCACGGCATCGTAGATGTGTGCAGACTCGTTCTTGCCATTGATAAGCTGAAGGCCGAGCAAACCTGCCCAGTTGACAACATTACATGGTGTTGGCCAATGCCTCACAACACGACTCTCACTTCAAGAACACGTCAAGGCATACTCGTAATAAAGAAATGCACACATTGCCAGAGAGAGAAACAAACGTGCATTGCATATGAGCGACAAATTGTCTCAAGACAGACAGAAGGACTGTGAAAGTCATGGGGGGTCAGGACAGGGTCAGCACTGAGCAGAATGGCGCGAAGTTGAACACGGATGTGTATATAAAGAAGCCGGGAACAAAGAAATGCGGTTGTCGCTTACCATCATATCCACACCTCAATGTGGAGGTAGCAAAGCACCACTTATAAATAAACTCATGACAGCCAAACCTTAAAAATGTATGCACATTCAAACCAATATGGATTACCACAACTCTCTATTGCATCATTTGTTGTCTACTGAAAGAAAGGACAAACACTCAAAAATGAAACAAATTAAACATTAGACATAAAGCACAGTACAATGAGTAAAGAATCACTGTGTTTAAAACCTTTAAACATGGAGATGTTTAAACGTTTAAACACGCAAGTACAGCACAGACACTGATTCGTTGGTGGGGATTGCAAATTGTAATCGTATAAAAAGCTTAAAAGGCAAACATGTTCAGTTTGTTAAGAAGCCTGGGAGAGAGAGAGAGAGAGAGAGACAGAGAGAGATAGAAAGAGCGGATGAAAATGGAGAGGATGAAAAGTACATACCATCTGGGGCTTCACTCAGTGCTTTACCAGACATCTCCCTTTCTCCAACCAGCCACACATAACCAGAGCCTGTCATATTGAGCTGGCGCGCTGCTTTGTAAATGGCTGCAGCTTCGTCTTCACTGTGATTGGACAAAGATTGGTAGTAACAGACTGCATTAATTGGACTAAACACCTCCAAATTTAATGTTATGAATAGGTCTGCATGGAATCTGTGAGTGCAGAAATCAGAGAATCAGCTATACTACACATTTCTTAGCTTATTTCTATGTTAAATATATTTGTAGTCACCAGCAAGAATGTAAAAAACATTTTGCCATGTTTAAATCATTACGCAGAATGCCTCAGATTTCCCCCAAGTCTGTTTGCATATTCTGTGTGGGCCTGATTATGAGTGACTCATGAAGGGCAGAGAAACTGTCTGACATTTTGAGGTAATCTCTTGTTAACAAATGAGATGTTGGCTCATTTAATCAGAAAACACCTTATGAAGTGTTTGTACTGAGGCTGGACATTTTAGCTTTATTTGCAATCATTTGTAAAAATTAAAAATGTTTTCAATTGTAATTTTTTTAAACTGTAATTTACTAGAAAAGTTACATTTGCCAAAACAAGAGTTGTCCATCTTGGCTTATATTATATCATATCATATTATATTATTATATTATAATTTCTTTAACAAATGAACTTTTGTGAACCAGGGGCTGTATAACAGAAACTTCCTATCTTTATTTTTGACTTGATGTGAAAACAGTTTGATTTCCTAAGTGAAATTACCATGGTTACTAAACAAATAGGATAGGATGTTTCTGTAACACAGCCCCAGGATAGAACACTTTATTTCCCAGAATGCACTACCTGAATTTCTTTGGCTTGCAATTTAGTAAATCAGTCCAATCATAGTCCTATCATTCCAATCCATTTTAACTCAAAATCGGTGTCAATTTCCTGTGAGATGTGACCAATTCAATTTAAAATTCCACCTGAATTAAACAGTAGCACAGATATATTTTCAGAATTCTCGAACCCAAGCTTCGCCATTTTTGCCTGCACTAAGTCAGTCTCTTGGCTGGCCAAATGTATTATTCAGTAACAATAGCGATTAGCGGTGATGGGTTAAACAGTGGAGATGAACTCACCTTGCAGACAGGATGATAACTCGGGCCTCTAGCTCTTTGGCTTCCTGGAGCAGAGCCGTCAGATTTGTGTCTTGGCTGAACAGGAGCACTTTCTCTGCCTGGGATTAGGACACAACATTAGTCAAGTAGTTGACTCATCCCCACCATGAACCATGCTCTTTGAGCGCTTGCATTTTGTTCTCCTTTTTGGAGCAGGTAAAAAGTTCTGCATTTTCACATGCAAACTCAAAGGAATCAAGATTCCAAGGAAAAACGTGCATGTTACAGGAAGAGGGAGAAGAAGATTGATGCAACCGGAAAGCAAAAAAACAGGTGAAGGAAGGTGGTGATGGTGGTGGCTTCTTTCCCAACCAAAAACCAAAAAAAAAAAAAAAAAGGAAGAAAAGCTG